CAAAAAAATGGAAAAATATCCTCGGATGAGGATTAAAAAAAAAGAAGCATGGATAAAATGAGAAAATATTGCATTTCTGTCATCTGTGGATATCTTAAGAACAAGAGTAAACTATTACACAGTTGGAGTGGGAAATATGTAACTAGATTAGTGGGGTTTTTATGTTTTAATTTTAGCAAAATACACAACATAAAATGTACTGTCTTAACCATTTTGAGTGTGCAGTTTAGTGGTATTAAGTACATTTACATTGTTGTGCAATCATTACTCAATTCATCTTAAATTTGTGGTTTTTTTAAAGAGATGGTTTTGGTTGCAGTTTTGAGAATGGACTAGGTGAGGCAACAGTTGCTGGAAAGTTATTTATGGGAAGCTAACCACAGAGGGGGTGAGGTGCTAAAATTCACTAGGGGTAAGGACCACTGGGTCTCCTGTGCACTGGCTGGCTGCCATATCACAGGAGTAAGCAGAGAACATACTGAAGTCAGAAGAAAGGCCTCTTTCTCCTCTGTTGTTCCTCCAGTGTGCCTACTGTGGAAAAAAGGGAAATGACCATTGAGCAAGCAACCAACAATATCTGCCACAGTACCCAAAGCCCCTCCCTTAAGTATATAGAGGAATGAGATTCTGATCCTATTTTGGTGTAAACACTTTTAGTTCAAGGCCCAATTTTGATCCTTCCTCAATTGATCTCAGGTAAAATCATATAGATCCTCTGAGCTACTAAGATAAGGAAACTGACTATGTCTTATGTTCCCAAATCTGGTTCTAGACACAAATCAATTCTAGGGATTTTTACTGGCAAATTTAAAGCAACTTGAGCCTGGAAACAAAAATAACAGGAATAAGTTATCACATATTGAGGAAATTAAAAAATCCATACTGATACTAAAAAGATTATAAATAAGTAGGAGGAGGAATGGAAAGCTCTTCTTTAGAAGAGGCAACTAGCCCTGGCCAGTTTTTTCAGTGGTTAGAGCATTGGCCCAGGGACCAGAGAGTCCCGGGATTGGTTCCCACTAAGGGCACATACCTTGGTTGCAGTTTGTCCTCGGCCACTGTTGGGGTCATGTGGGTGGCAACTAGTCCATGTGTCTCTCTCACATTGATGTTTCCCTCCTCCCTCTCTCCCTCCTGCTCTATCTGAAGATAAATGCAAAAATGTCCTCGGGTGAAGATTTTTTTAAAAAGAGCCCTGGCGGTTTTTGCTTAGCAGTTAGAGCGTCAGCTGGTGGACCAGAAAGGCCCGGGTTCGGTTTCTGCTAAGGGCACATACCTCGGTTGCAGTTTGTCCCTGGCCCCGGTTGGGGTTGTGTGGGTGGCAACCACTCGATATGTCTCTCTCACATCGATGTTTCTCTCTAATCCTCCCTCTCTCCCTCTCACTCTTTCTGAAGATAAATGCAAAAATGTCCTCAGGTAAGGATGAAAAGAAAAGACAGCTATTGTCCGCTGGTGTGGTTTAGTGGTTGAGTGTCAGCCCATGCACCAAGAGGTCACCAGTTTGATTCCTGGTTAGGGCACATGCCCAGGTTGTGGACCCAATCTCCAGTGGGGGGCATGCAGGAGGCAGCCAGTCGATGTTCTCTCTCTCTCTCTCTCTCTCTCCCCCCTTCTCACTTCTTCTCTCTCTCTAAAAATCAATAAAGAGGGGGAAAAAAAAAAGACAACTAATGCCTGGCCGGTGTGGCTCAGTGGATTGAGCGTTTTCCCATGGAGTGAGAGGTCCTGGTTTGATATCTTGTCAGGCGCGTGCCCTGGTTGAGTGCTCGTTCCCCAGTAGGGGGCATGCAGGAAGCAGTCGATAGTTGTATCTCTCCCTTTCTCTCTCTCTAAAATATCAATGAAAACATTTAAAAAAAGAGAGACAACTAATAAATGTAGTTAGAGTGTTCTAATTCTATTATCAGTTTATAGCCATCACAGTAACAATTGATTTATGCATGAATCATTAAATGGATGCTAAAATATGACCTGTTTTGGTGGAAAACAGGATACTTTACACAGTCTCAAACTGGCACCACAGATTACTCACCAGTTATAAAAATAAAAGCTCACCTTTACAGTGCTGGTAGACAGCACTTTTACCAAATGATCAAGCTTGGCATTGCCAATAATGGGACAGACTTTGTGCCTCATAATATAACAAACTGAGGCGGATACCACTTCAGCAATGTAGTGTGCTGGCCAAGACAAGCTTTACCCTGAACACAAACTCTATATCTAGCATGAGAACAGGACGAAACAGACAAATCCAAATTAAGGATCATTCTGCAGAACAACTGACCTGGACTCCACAATTGTCAATGTCACGAATGACAAAAACAAACCAAAGAACCTAGAGAATTTTTCTAGATTAAAAACAACTAAAAAATATGACAACTAAATGCAATTAATAATCTTAGATAATTAAAAAAGCATTATTGGGACAAGTAGGGAAATTTGAACAGGGATTTTATGTTATACAATACTGGATCAATATGAAATTTCCTGAGTGTGGTTATATGGAACTTTCAGTAACTGGAACTTATTTTGTAAGTATTGGTGTAGGTACATTCTTGGTCTAGGGCAGTGGTTCTCAACCTGTGGGTCATGACCCCTTTGGGCGTCGAACGACCCTTTCACAGTGGTCGCCTAAGACATAATAGTAGCAAAATTACAGTTAGGAAGTAGTAACGAAAATAATTTTATGGTTGGGGGTCACCACAACATGAGGAACTGTATTAAAGAGTCATGGCATTAGGAAGGTTGAGAACCACTGGTCTTGGGGCTAACCTTCTCCCAAGGAGGTTTTCAGATAGCCTCTAGGACTCTTTATTTGTAGTATAAGTTCTCCTATCTTCACAATTACCTTGTTTAATCTTGGCTCTTTGCTTTTCTCTGTACAGTTCAGAATGAGCTTATCAAATTCTACACAAATTCTTTTGGGCTCTGGCCACTGTGGCTCAGTTGGTCGGGTATCCTGAGCACCAAAAGGTTGCCAGTTTGATTTCTGATAAGGGCACATGCCCAGGTTGTGGGTTCGATCCCTGGTAAGGGGCATGCAGGAGGCAGCCCATTCATGTTTCACTGTCATGTGGATGTTTCTCTAACTCTCTCCCCCCTCCCTTCTTCTCTCTCTAAAAATCGGTTTTTAAAAATCCTGTTGGGCCCTGGCCGGTTTGCTCAGCGGTTAGAACATTGGCCTGCGGGTTCGATCCCGGTCAAGGACATGTACCTTGGTTGTGGGGTTGTGGTTCAATCCCTGGCTCTGGTCGGGTAGTGCGGGAGGCAACCAGTCAGTGTGGCTCTATCACATCGATGTTTCTGTCTCTCTCCCTCCCTCCCTCCTTCCTTCCTTCCCTCTCTATCTCATAATAAGTAGAAAAATATCCTCAGGTGAAGAATAAAAAATAAAAATCCTTTTGGGATTCTGGTTTGAATTACATTGACTTTGTAGGTTATTTTTAGAAGAATTAACATATTTATAATATTATCTTCCTATCTATGAATATAGTTTATTCCTCCATCTCCAAAAAGAATCTGATTGTAGAATCTTATCCATAAATCCTCACCTAAGGGCATTTTTGCATTTATCCTGAGATAGAGCGGGAGGGAAAGAGGGAAGAGAGAGAGAGAAACATCGACGTGAGAGAGACATATTGACTGGTCACTACATACACGACCCCAACTGGGACCAGGGACAAACTGAAATCGAGGTACATGCCCCTAGCAGGAACTGAACCCAGGCATCTCTGGTCTGCAGGCTGACGCTCTAACCGCTAAGTCAAACTGAACAGGGCCTTACTTTTTTTTTTTTTTTTTTTTAATATTTTTTTTTCTTTATCGATTTGAGAGAGAGAGGAAGTGAAAGGGGGAGAGAGATAGAAACATCTATGAGAGAACATCGATTGGCTGCCTCCTGCACGCCCCCCACTAGGGATTGGGCCCACAACCTGGACATGTGTCCTGATCGGGAATCGAACTGGTGACCTTTACATTTGGTTTAAATGGAATTGTTTAAAAATTTTTATTTCTTGCTATTGTGTAGAAATACAGTTGACTTTTATATATTGGGTTTGTATCTAACAGCCTTGCTAAATGTATCTATTCTGATAATTTAATTTCTTTTTGCTTTTCCATGTAGAAATGAAATTATCTGCAAATAATGATTGTTTCATTTTCTTCTTCCTGATTTATATATGATTTATTTTTATTTTATTTTATTTTATTTTTTATCCTCATCTGAGGACATTTTTCCATTTCTTTTGGTCAGATAGAGTGGGAAGGAGAGAGAAAGAGAGAGAGAAACATTGACGTGAAAGGGACACATCAAGTGGCTGCCACCCGCACGACCAACCAGGGCCGGGGACAAACTGCAACCGAGGTACATGCCCTTAGCGGGAACCAAACCCGGGTCTCTCCGGACCGCAGGCCAACTCTCTAACCGCTGAGCCAAACCGGCCAGGGCTATATATGATTTATTTTTATTATCTTTGCTAGAAAGGACTTCCAATATAATATTGGAAGAGAAGTGGTGGTAGAAGGCACTTTTACCAGGTTAAGGGAGTTACCTTAACTCTCTAATTTGCTAAGAAGTTTTTAAATATTATGTTTTTTTTCATCCTCACCTGAGGACATTTTTTGTACAGATAGAGTGGGAGGGAGAGAGAGGAAGAGAGAGAGAGAGAGAGAGAGAGAGTGAGAAACATCGATGTGAAAGGGACACATCGAGTGGCTGCCACCCGCACGACCAACCAGGGCCGGGGACAAACTGCAACTGAGGTACATGCCCTTAACGGGAACAGAACCCGCGTCTCTCCGGACCGCAGGCCGACGCTTTAACCGCTGAGCCAAACCGGCCAGGGCAGTTTTTAAATATTATGAATGGATTTTGAATGTTATCAAATATTTTTCTGCACCTATTGAGATGAACATGCAGACTTTCTTCTTTAATCTGTTAATGTGATACTACTAGTTTGGAAATAATACTTCTTGCTTCTTCCGTTTCCTGCCTGCAGGTGATTTGTGGAGCTATGATTTCTTCAGTGGTGAATTTGTAGTGTCACCTGAACCAGACACAAGTGTTCATACTCTTGATCCCCAGAAGCACAAGTATATTATCTTGGGGAGTGATGGACTTTGGAATATGATTCCACCTCAAGATGCCATCTCAATGTGCCAGGACCAAGAGGAGAAAAAATACATGATGGTGAGAAGTGACTCCATAATTTGATATTATTGTGTACACATTGTTCTGGTGCTTTTGTTCACCTTACGTAGATTTTTTTCATTTGCCTGGCCCTTGAAGTAAGTAAAACATAGCTTTTGCAGCTCGTTAGTGGAACAAGACAGGAAATAAATAAAACTAAATAACAAAACACATAACCACTATCTTCATTATGAATAGCCCTCGACTTACTGGCCTTTGAAACCTCACCAATTCTTTTTTTTTTTTTTTTTCTTTTCTTTATTGATATATTAGAGAGACAGAGGAAGGGAGAGGGAGAGAGAGATGGAAACATCAATGAGAGAGAACATCAACTGGCTGCCTCTTGCATGCCCCCCACTGGGTATCAGGCCCACAACCTGGGCGTGTGCCCTGACTGGGATTCAAACCGGCGACCTTTTAGTGCATGGGTCGATGCTCAACCACTGAGCCACACTGGCCAAGCTTTTTTTTTTGTTTCATATATTTTTATAGATTTTAGAGAGAGAGAGAAACATCTATCAGCTGCATCCTGTATACCCTCTACTGGGGATTGAGTCCCACATGTGCCCTTACCAGGAATTGAACCAGCATCCTCTTGGTGTGTGGGATGATACTTAATCAGCTGAGCTCTTGTTTTTTTGTTGTTGTTAATCCTCACCCGAGGATACTTTCCAATGATTTTGAGATAGAGTGGAAGGGAGGGAGGGAGAGAGAGAGAAAAACCATCAACGTCAAAGAGACACAATGATTGGTTGCCTTCTGTACAACCCCGACTGGGGCCAGGGATCCAACCTGCAACCAGGCATGTGCACTTGATGGGGAATCTAACCTGCGACCCTTTGGTCCTCTGGCCGATGCTCTAACCCCTGAGCTAAATTGGCCAGGGCAAGAGATGTTGTAGTCTTAAGAGAAAGATTGACAGTTAAGAGAAGAAGGGGATGTTGATTGAATGCAAGTCCAGAGCACATGGAAATGACTGAAATCAATGGCTCAAGGGTATAGGCTAGTCTTAGAAAAGATGATCTTGCCCTGGCTGGTTTGGCTCAGGGGTTAGAGCGTCGGCCCACAGACCAGGTTTGATTCCAGTCCAGAGCATGTACCTTGGTTGTGATGCAGTCCCCAGCCCTGGTCAGGTCCTGCGGGAGGCAACCAGTCAATGGTCTTTCTCATATCGATGTTTCTCTCCCTTCCTTCCTCCCCTCCCTCCTACTCTGTATGATGATAAATAGAAAAATATCCTCAGGTGCGGATTAAAACAAAAAGAAAAGATGATCTTTCTCTAATGTGGGAGGAATGATAAAACTATTTTGGGGGATGAAAAGGAGGCAAAATAAAAGAACTTGTATTAAATTGCCTCCATTCATTTACTCAGCTAACATTAGGTACTAAGTATAGAGAATGCAAGGTAAATAGAATATGGCCCTTACTCAGCATTTGCCACATTATTTCAAATAGGATATGTAAATAGCTATCAATACCATTTGATTATGAGTTGATTAAAGATAAGAGTTGTGTCTTGATTCATTTTTACAAACTTGAGGCTAGCGTGTTCCATTTGGTCATTGATACCAGTTGTAAAAGGAAGATTCAAGTAAAGACTTGCCCTGGCTGGTTTGGCTCAGCTATTAGAGCATCGGCCTGCGATCCAGAGAGTCCCAGGTTCAGTTCCCACTAAGGGCACATACCTCGGTTGCAGTTTGTCTCCAGCTCCAGTTGAAGTTGTGTGGGTGGCAGCCTGACAATGTGTGTCTCTCACGTTGATGTTTTATCTCTCTCTCTTCCTCCCTCTCCCCCTCTCGCTCTATCTGAAGATGAATGCAAAAATGTCCTCGGGTGAGAATTAAAAATATATATATATAAAAATAAATAAAATAAAGACGTTTTTCTTTTGGATTTAGAATTCTTTTTTTTTTTTTAAATATGTTTTTATTGGTCTTTTTTAGAGATAGAGGAAGGGAGAGAAAAATAGAAACATCGATTTGAGAGAGAAACATCAATTGGCTGCCTCCTGCACATCCCCCACTGGGGATCGAACCCAAAACCTAGGCATGTGCCCTGACCGGAAATTGAACCAGGACCTCTTAGTCCTTGTGATGATGCTCAATCCACTGAGCCACCCTGGCCGGGCAGGATTTAGAATTCTTTAATGATGTGTGTGTGAGAGAGAGAGAGAGAAAGTGAGAGAGAGAGAGAGAGAGAGAGAGAGAGAGAGACACATTTCAGTGGCATAATGAGACCAAAAGCCAGTTGGTAGTAGAATGGGAGAACCTATTTATAAATGCCAAAGTGTTTTTAGAATGATTATTGAAGTATGAATATAACAATATTTAGAACAAGTGTTAGCAAAACACATAGGGAGCCCTGGCCAGTTTGGCTCAGCAGTTAGAGCGTCAGCCTGGACCAGAGAGTCGCAGGTTTGGTTCCCACTAAGGGCATGTACCTCGGTTGCAGTTTATCCCCGGCCCTGGTTGGGGTCATGTGGGTGGCAACCAGTCGATGTGTCTCTCGCGCGTTGATGTTTCTCTTCCTCCCTTTCTCCCTCCCGCTCTATCTGAAGATAAATAGTACAAAGTTGTCCTCCGGTGAGGATAAAAAAAAAACCCATAAACAATACAGAGGGAAAAGATAGGAAACTGCATAAGAAGTTTCATGGATGAGAGTGATATTTGAGCAAGTCTTAAAGTGGGGTTTAATTTACCTGGTAATAAATTAGAGAAAGAGAGAGAAGCTTCCCAGGCAAAGAAATAGGATGTGTAAAGTTAAAGAGGAGAGACAAATATGACATATTCAGATTTTACAAGGAGCTTGAGGTCACTGGAGAATAGGAGACAAAAAGATTTTGAATAGTCTGTTGTAAAGTTAGGTCTTATTGTTAGGTAGTGATGAGTTATTGAAAAACTGTGCTTTTGAAACCTTGCTTATTTGCACGGTGGAATATAAAATAGAGGTTTGATGATAATGGATGTGAAGATTCTATTTATTAGGAGCCCCTTAACAAAATTAAACTAAAGCAAAGTTGGCAATGAAAGAGAATGGGTGGCAACAATGATGAGTGAAGAATCCTTGAGAGGAGGTCAGTTTTGACTGGGGAGGGGTGTCATAGTTTTAAGGTTTATCTCCACCTCTCTTCACATTTTCATGATGCTTATTGGCAGTGTAACTGGTTTGATTCTTTTTTGAGGCTGCTGTTATATTCCAAATAAAACATTTTCAAGCTTGATTTATTTAAGGGAGCAATGGTAAAAATAAATAAATAACAACAACAACATATATACACAAGGACAAAATAAATAACATGAGTAGTTGGAATTGACAGTATGTGGGTTTTTAAGGAGGGGACAATATGATACCCAAATTTCGGACTGGTGACTAGTAGCTGTTATCAAGAAGAAACACATTATTTTGGGGGAGAGGGGAGATAATTAGTTTAGTTGTAGGCATGTTAAATTGTAGGTTCCTGTGGTTCATCTGGATATTGTCAGTAGGCAGTTAGAAACATTTGAGAGAGAAGATTTGAAATTTGAGTGCTAACACAAAAGAAAAGCTGTGTCAATTTAAGAGATCCTCTAATGAAACTGTATGGTGAAAGAAAAGGACACAATATTAGGGAGATTCAAATCAGCAGCAACAATGAGCTGAAGGCAAATTTTAAGTAATGTAGTAGAAATGGTTTATACAGATTTTTTTTTCATAGAGCTTTTCTTGGAAGGGAAATAGAGGCACACTGAAAAAGTGAAAAGTAAAGGAGTTCTCAGTGAGCTACTGTTTGGAGTAATAAACATACTTGGGAATGTTATAGATTCATGAATTAGAAATTAATGTTGCCTTTCATCAGCTGTAAGGTACATGTTTTTTCATATGAGAAAGTGGGGGAAAAGCAGTATTTAAAAAAGCATTACCAGAAAAAATTTTAGGACTTCCGGTCACGATGGCGGCTTAGATAAACGTGGTATCGTGTCCTCCCACAACCACATCAAAGTTACAACTAAACTATAGAACAACCATCATTCAAAACCGCCTGAAATCAAGCTGAATGGAAGTCCTACAACTACAAAATTAAAGCAGGAGCAACATCCAGACTGGTAGGAGGGGCGGAGGCGCGAGGGGCGATGGCGGCGCAATGGGCTGGTCCCACACCCACGTGTGGCAGATAAAAATCAGGAGGCTCCCGCTGCTGGGAAGGTCCTTCCTGAGGACTGAGGGGTCCCCGTCCCATACTAGGTGCCCCGCTCAGGGTTCCAGTGCTAGGAAGAGAAGTCCCCATAACTTCTGGCTGGAAAAACCAGCGGGAACTGAGGCTCAGGGAGGCTGAAGCGGCTGGAGCCCCAGGCAGCTCCCGAAAGGGCCGGCGCACGGACTTATCGGACTCTCCCTCTAAGCTCGGAGGGGAGGCAGCTCCAGGGGCGCCAGAGACATACAGGGAAGAACTGAGCTGTTTGGCACTGGAGCGAGGGCTGGAGAGGGGGCTTTCTTGGGGACAAATGTGCTGTCAGAGGCCTTTGTTCCTTTGGTGAGCCCCTCCGTGGGGCAGCAGTCACCATATCTGGGACTCTAGCAACCTGGCTCACACTGGTAGCCCCGCCCTGGTGACTCCCTGAGGCCCCACCCCGCCCCACCCAACTTTCAGGCCCACCCAAGCTGTTGCCACTTGCTTAACCATAAGATTGGCCTGTCTTGGATCCTGCTTCAGGTTTTTACTAAATTCTTTCAAACGAGCAGCATCTGGTCTCAACGAGCCTCATGCTTCTCATTAAGTAATACACTGAAACAAACACAGGGAGGCAGCCAAAATGAGGAGACAAAGAAACAGTTCCCAAATGAAAGAACAGAACAAAACTCCAGGAAAAGAACTAAATGAAATGGAGATAAGCAATCTAACAGATGCTGAGTTCAAAATACTGCTTATAAGGATGCTCAGTGAACTTAGGGAGGGCCTCAAGAGCATAAAAAAGGACCAGTCAGAAATCATGGATACACAGTTAGAATTGAAGGAGGCATTAACTGAAATAAAGAATAATTTACACAGCTTCAATAATAGAGTACGTAAATCCAAGGAGCAAACCATCGATTTGGAATATAAGGAAGCAAAAAATGCCCAATCAGAACAGCAAAAAGAAAAAAGAATCCAACAAAATGAGGATAGTGGAAGGAGCCTCTGGGACAACTTCAAGCGTGCCAACATTCCCATCTTGGGGGTGCCAGAAGGAGAAGAGCGAGAACAAGAAATCGAAAACCTGTTTGAAATAATAATGGCAGAAAACTTCCCTAACTTGGTGAAGGAAACAGACATACAAGTCCAGGAAGCACAGAGAGTCCCAAACAAGATGAACCCCAAGAGGCCCACACCAAGACACATCATCATCAAAATGCAAAAGGTTCAAGACAAAGAGAAAATCTTAAAAGCAGCAAGAGAAAGGCAGCCAGTTTACCTGCAAGGAGTTCCCATTAGGCTGTCAGCTGATTTTCTCAAAAGAAACTTGCAGGCCAGAAGGGGTGGCCGAAATATTCAGAGTATGAAAGCAAGAACCTACAACCAAGATTACTCTATCCTGCAAAGCTGTCATTTAGAATCGAGGCCATATAAGACTTTCCCAGACAGGAAAAAGTTAAAGGAGTTCATCACTACCAAACTGTATTATATGAAAGGTCTTTTGAAGAAAAAGATAAAATGTATGAACAAACAAAATGGCAATGAATACATATCTAACGCAATGGAATCTACAAACAAAATGAACAGGTAGAACAGAAACATTCTCATAGATACAGAGAACATTTTGTTGGTTGCCAGTTGGGAGGGGGGTTGGGGGAATGGGTGAAAAAGGTGAAGGGATTAAGAAGTACAAATTCAGCCCTGGCTGGTTTGGCTCAGCGGTTAGAATGTCAGCCTGCGGTCCACAGAGATCAGGGTTCGGTTCCCGCTAAGGGCATGTACCTTGGCTGCAGTTTGTCCCCGGCCCTGGTTGGGCCATGTGGGTGGTGGCCACTCTATGTGTCCCTTTCACATCGATGTTTCTCTCTCTTCCTCTCTCTCCTTCCCGCTCTATCTGAGTAAAAAATGGAAAAATGTCCTCGGGTGAGGATAAAAAAAATAAATAAATAAATAAAAAAGAAGTACAAATTCATTCCTAGACTGACAAACCTCAAAGGGAAAGGGGTGGGGTGGGGGGTGGGAAGAAATAAACCAAAGAACTTATATGCATAACCAATGGACACAGACAATAGTATGGGAAAAGGTGGGAGGGGGGCGGGAGTGGGGAGGAGGGGGTCAATGGGGGGAAAATGTGGAACATCTGTAATACATTTTACATCCAACAATAAAGATTTAAAAATAAAAAAAATAAAAAAAGCATTACCAAATGGCACTTGTCTTCGGAATGCAAGGATGGCTTAATATTAATGTTTTAAACAAAGCACCTAAGAAGAGTTATTTGCAGTTTGCCATTATTAATGTGTCAAAATACCCATTTCAGACAACCTCAAGTAAAGATGATTCCCTGTTTTTTCAAGAAAAGGATAAAAAAAGCCCAGTTATTTATCTAGTTTGAATATATACTTCAGGAATACAGATGACAACCAAATGACTTAGAGAGAGAGAGAGAGTGTGTGTGTGTGTGTGTGTGTGTGTGTAATATGCTTATGGTACAATATATACTATTTTATAAAGTATACTTTATAGTATAGTTCATTAATATGTTTGTAATTAAGAGTACAATAATATATTTTACTGCATTACATAAACTAACTTTAAGATGTTTTTATATTTGTAGTTCATAATATATATTTTTTCAACCAATTCCGCTAATTTTCATAATACAGTTATTTCTAGAGGTACTTTTTAAGGCATGTAGCCCTATTTTCTGGAGCACATAATTTTCACTTCTGTTCTCTGAAACTTGGCAATTACTCAATCCATGTATGATGCTGAAATTTTTCTTCCAAGCTACTTTTATTTGCTTAACATGAAGTCATTTAAGTTTTTATTTTTATGTTTTCTGTTGGTATGTATTTGATCTCTATACCATAACAACTTATTGTGTTGGCTTTTTTCTCATATAAATGATAGTGACCATTTTTTAATATGTGTTTAAGAGTCATTTATATTTCCTTGTCTCTGAATTTTGTTCATATCCTTTGACAATTTTTATTTTGGGTCACTGTCTTTGTTTTTCAGAGGCACTTAATTTAGGAGAAAAATTGCCCTTTGCAATGAGTATTTTTGCCATGCTTGATTATTTCATTTGTGAACTGTTTTTCGATAATAACTTGATATTTACTCCACTTTTTAGATAACTTCTATATAACTTTTCCTTAATAACTGTAATTAATGTTACAGTTATTTCTTGCTACCAAAAAGACAAATAAACAGGTGAAATTTAACCTCAGGAAAGGCCTTATTTTATTATTTTTTTAAATTTAGAGTAATAATGTTTAAACATAGTTTGGGGACTTGTGGATAATGTTTAAAGTTTTGGAAATTTAATTAATTTATTTAGGCTGTATTGAACAGCTAATTTTTAATTCAGGTGTAGTGGTGACTAAATTTAAGTTGTTGCCTTCCTTCTCCTTCTTTTAAATACAGGGTGAGCATGGACAATCTTGTGCCAAAATGCTTGTGAATAGAGCACTAGGCCGCTGGAGGCAGCGTATGCTTCGAGCAGATAATACCAGTGCCATAGTAATCTGCATCTCTCCAGGAGTGGACATTCGGGGAAATTTCACCAATGAAGATGAGCTCTATCTGAACCTAACTGATAGCCCTTCCTATAATAGTCAAGAAACCTGCCTGAGGACTCCTTCCCCAAGTTCTACACCACCAGTCAAGGTATATAGTTGTATAGTATTTAAGTTGTTTTAATAAACAGAGTTTCTTTGGTTAGTGTTGCCTGAAAACAGTTTTCAGATTTCTTATATAATAGATTTTGGATTTGAACTAGTTTCAAGAAAGTGATGAATCTTTGTCATATAACTTGATGTCAGTGAGCCATTTTCATACCAGTACTTACTTACTAATCTGGACGCCAGCTGTGTGCACAGCACCTAATAGAAAGGTGGTTAGATATGGCCCCTGAAGAATATAAGCAATATTTTTCAAAAAAGGATATTAACAATATTAATGTTTGGAACTTACTGATCCCCTTATAACAGTGTATTATTACATTTGTAATATTTTTTTCCTTTGAAAACCCTTGAATAATAATGCAGATTAAAACCTTTTAAAGGCTCTTCATTATCTTTTGAGAGTTATAAAGGAACTTATGTTTATTTGAGTATTTGAACATAATACTATTTCTGAATTTGAATGTATTCATCACTTTTGTGTTCCCTAATGTATTTGTATTTAAATAACTGACTTTTAGGCAGAATAGAGAAGGGGGTGTTAGAGTAGAGGTAACTGTGAGGGGACAGAGGGTATTTTGATAGGAATAAATATTCTTAATATTGATTTAAAATAAAAATGATTGTAGTCTGCTGGTTGGAGTTAGTAAAATTGTACATAGATTGCACATAAAATACATTTTAAAATTATTCCTAAAGTTCTCAGAAATAAAGATCTAATAATCACACTAAAGTAAAGATGAGATTTGTGTATGTACTAACTTATATGCAGGCGTGTATTTTTTAATTAATTAATTAATTTTTTGGTATGTGCCCCTAGCTGGAACCAAACCCAGGACTCTCTGGTCCACAGGCCGATGCTCCAACCGCTGAGCCAAACCGGCCAGGGCTGCAGGCATGTTTTTTTGTGAACCAATTGGCTCCACTCAATTTTGGGAAAATATTTAGAGCTATTCAGAATAATTATTATTGGCCCTGACCTAACAAAGGCTAATTAATTTCTGCTCAAGAAATTGTGTTTTATTCTGTTTCCCTTTTTAAAAAAATATTTCTACTGATTTTTAGAGAGAGAGGAAGGGAGACAGAGAGAGAAACATCGATGTGAGAGAGAAACATTGATCTGCTGCCTCCTACACATACCCTGACTTAGGATCAAACCCGCAATCTGGGTATGTGCCCTGAATGGGAATCGAACTGGCGATTATTCGGTGCACAGGACAACACTCAACCAACTTGAGCCACACTGGGCAGGGCATCTCCCTTTGTGTAAAAGAGAAAACCTGCCCTGGCCTGTTTGGCTCAGCAATTAGAGCGTGGCCCGCAGACCAGAGAGGCCCAGGATTGGTTCCCACTAGGGGCATGTACCTCAGTTGCATTTTGTCCCCGGCCCTGGTTGGGGTCGTGTGGGTGGCAACCGGTCAATGTGTCTCTCTCTCATTGATGTTTCTCTCTCTCATTGATGTTTCTCTCTCTCTTCCTTTCTCTCTCCCTCCCGCTCTATCTGAAGATAAATACAAAAAATGTCCTCGGGTGAGGATAAAATAATAATAATAATAATAATAATAATAATAATAATAATAATTGGTTTAACCATGAGTACTCACAAGTATCTCTGATTTATTTTATTGTTATAGTAATCCCATGTTTGGTAACATCTAGCTAAATATAATGACATTTTGGTTCATTTTGAATGATTTTTAAGACCCACATTTAGACTAGGCATTTGAGAGTAGGTTTATCTATCTATAGATATGTCAACTTCTGTTTGAATCTAAGGTAAATCAGTAGTCAGATCTTTGTTTTGGGATGAATTAGTAGAAATACCTCTGGTTAATGATATATTACTATGGCACGCATTTCTTTCTCCATCCATCTTTAGGGCAGGACTAAACTTACCTGTTTTTACAACCAAGAGCTATAGGAAGTAGGAATGAGAAAGATAATTCTTTCATAAAATTAGCACTTAGTTTTATTTGTTATCTAGGAACAATTTCTAATTAGTTGTTTAATGTTGGATTGATAGATGGAGCGAGAAAGTTGATCTCTGAAGTAGTGAAACTGTGAAAGTATATATTGTTAGGAGGTAATATCTCAATATCACAAATGCTTTATGAACATGTAAGAAGGCTTAGTGATATTAAATTAATCTGGGATGAGCCCTGGCCGGTTTGGCTCAGTGGTTGGATCATCGGCCTGCGGACCAGAGAGTCCCGGGTTTAGATCCCGCTAGGAGCACGTACCAAAAAAAAAAAAAATCTGGGATGAGTCTAAGAAGTCCAAGCAGTTGCCTGTGCTAACAGATCCAATGTATTGCCACAGAATGCTGATAAAAAGAGAAGGAAAAGAAAATTCTCAAGGAATAATAATCTGTGAAATGAAAAAGACACAGCACAACAGAAATTACAATAAATTGTGTTAACTATGAAATTGTTCCATTGGTGTTTTTTTTAATATATATATATAAAGGAATTCCATTTAACTTCTGACATTTTTATACAAACTAGAGCAATTTGTTTTATTTCTATAAATGACTTGATTAGTACCTTTTCCTTGTGCCTAATTTAGTAATGTAATTATTTGGTAGTAGGAAGCCTTCTGTCTACAGAACTTACTGCTGCTTGGTCTTGTTGCAAATCCTTTTTCTATATTTAAGCAGGATGAACTCTTGGTCAACAATTACTTATGAATAGATACAGTTTTCTGTGGTCAGCTAGAACATGCTTGTAACCAGGGTAGGTATTGGAATCAACCTAATACAAAGGGATAAAATCACTTACAACTTTTGTTTTTTATATTATTGAAAGTCACATGTAAATATTCTAGAACAGAAACTGTCTTGTTATCCTTTTTCTGCACTGGTACTTTAAAAATATGGCTGCTGCCCACCATCTAGTCAGTGTTAAAACACATAAGAAGAATTGAACTTTTAATAAACCGTGCAGTGTAAAATAAATAAAAGAACCAATGACCCCAGAATGAAAAAGTATATTCTTAGAAGAAGCAATCTATTTGGGGCAGTACCAAATTAAGAAGTAGGGTTTCTCATCTTTAGTCTCCATTGGACCTAAAGTCAAATATATTTTTTCAGTAAAACATGTTCATGTTTATAGTTAGATGGAAATGCTTTTAGGTGGTTTCAGTTTCCCTTTTTTTTTTTTTTTTAATTATAGAAACAAAGGGAACATTCTTTTTATGAATATGCTCTTTTTATATAGCACTTTTTTGAAAGGTATTTTATTCCTAGGGGATTTTATATCAGAGGAGGCCAGGTAATATGTTCTCATTTACCATTCTATAAAAAGGTTTATTTGGCCTTTTCACAATATATTAATCCCCTAGGTATGTTCCATAAAAATGATACCTTTTCCCAGAAAAGAATAATCTATCAATAGTTTAATAATTTCTTTGATGAAGAGAGGAAGCAATTGAGGGAAATGTTACATACCTTGGGGGAGAGATAGTATTTATGCTTAAACTCTGTCCTTGAGAAACTATAAGACAATGAATTTATAAAGTATTACTATAGTGGAAGATTGGGTTTGATAGGAAGAATGTTCTTATCTGTCCAGAGATGAGAGAATATTCTGAGTATATGTAGATCTAGAGCAGTACAGCCAAAGGGTTGTATATCTGAGTCACCTGTTATGCTTCTGAAAAAAACGATACCTGAGAGTTGCTATATAATCTTCACTTATTTCTTTGAGACTTGCCCCAGCCATGCTCAGTAGGTTCCTGTGTGTCCTGCTTTTCTCAAATCACAGAACAGCATCTAGTGTTTGGGAGATGGGTGCAAAGTAATGATGTGAGTTTCCTTATGACATAGTTGCTTTAATGTTGCACTTCACATTTTCCACACTACTAAATATTCAGAAATGAGACTACAGAAAGTAGGAAAAAGCCAAATTTGTCACCTATTCTAATGAAACCCCTTCATCTCCCCGAGGGTCAGCCTGAGTTCTAGGACAAATTATTTCTTATTTGGTTTGCTTTCTTGTTTTTCAGTCATTGGAGGAGGACCCTTGGTCAAGGCTGAACTCTAAGGACCATATACCTGCCCTTGTTCGTAGTAATGCCTTCTCAGAGAATTACTTAGAAGTCCCAGCTGAGATAGCTCGAGGGACTATCCAGGCTGCAGTCATACCCTCAAAAGATCCAGAGCCACTTGAAGAAAATTGCCCTAAAGCCCTGACGTTAAGGATACATGATTCTTTGAATAATAGCCTGTCAGTTGGCCTTGTGCCTACCAATTCAACAAACACCATCATGGACCAAAAAAATTTAAAGATGTCAACTCCGGGTCAAATGAAAGCCCAAGAAGTTGAAAGAACCCCTCCAGCAAACTTTAAAAGGACATTAGAAGAATCCAATTCTGGCCCTCTTATGAAGAAGCATAGACGAAATGGTTTAAGTCGAAGTAGTAGTACTCAGCCTACAAGCCTCCCCACAACCTCACAGCGAAAGAACTCTGTTAAACTTACCATGCGGCGCAGACTTAGGGGCCAGAAGAAAATTGGAAATCCTTTACTTCACCAGCACAGAAAAACTGTGTGTGTTTGCTGAACTGTCTCTAGAAAATGGCTTTTTCTCAAATGTAGGATATAAGGCTTTTTGAAGATGGTACTGAAGCTGAACATCTTTTAAAGGGACAAAATAAAAATTGTATACAGTTTGACTTTCTGGAATTCAGCAGTTTAATCCTGGCCTTGTACTTGCTTGTATTATACATGTGAATTTTGTAGATGTTAGGGTATACGTTGCTGTAAAATGTGTGTAAATTTGTATCCTTCACACAAACTCAGTCTCTTACTCTGATACACAGTAAATATAACAGGGCTAAAGGTTTTTAAAAAATCGAAAGAATCTATTAGATTTTAGAAATACATTTAAACTTTTAAAAATGCTTATTAAGTCACTTGTGATGAAACTATACAAATTTTTAAAGTAAATTATTAAGCAAACTGGAAAAGTGATGTATTTTCATAGTGACCTGTGTCCCACTTAATGTTTCTTAGTGACAACTATTGTCTTTTAAAAATTATTTTTTATTTCTAATTTCATAATTCAGAACTAAATTTTTCATAGAAGCAGAAGTAGCTGGGTATTAGTTTCCTTGTCCTGATTAAAATACTATGCACTATCTTATTTCGGTAGCATTTTTCTAAAAAAATTAATCATCAAATATACTCATTAAATCTTTGGAATAGAAAGAGGTGTGTTTCTCTAAAAAGATGCCCTTCTCAGTTATCCCACACATTCAGTGGCATTATTAGATCTTAAAGTAGTTACCCTCTTCTAGTGTTTGCATAAGATATGTGACCTTTTTCTTGCTATTTCAATAATGGATGGTGCTGCTAATTCCCAACATTTCTTAAATTATTTTATATATCATACAGTTTTCATTGATTATATGGATATATGTTTGTTCATCTAATAAATCAGTGAATTGTTCATGATGTTGCAGGATTTTTGTTGTTGGTTTTAATGATACAAGTTAACTTTCTGTTGTGCCATGATCATGCTCTTTTTAGAGTAACTTAAAATAAATTCAGTGTTCCTCGAAACAAGCTAAATATCTAACAGTAAGAATGTGACTAAGTCAGTTATGGCATGTAAGCATTTGATGACATATGTAGCAGTTAAAAATGAATGGAACTGTACTTTGATGGTATAGGAAAAACTAAAAGGAACTAATACTGAAACACTAAGAGTATGTCATTTTGGTGTGGTAAATTGTACAATGAGAAAATTTTTAAATTTATTAGAACAACACCTCTCATTAAAAGGTTGAAGAGTTGATTATGTACCTACAGTAAGCTAGGTACTGCACCATTGGAAGCATACCAGTTTTCCATAAGAAAATTGAGAACCAGTGGTCTAGGTAAAACATTCATTGTGGCTACTTTTTAAAAAGAATTTTTGGGCCCTGGCCAGATAGCTCACTTTGTTAGAGCATCATCCCCATACAGCAAGGTTGTGGGTTTGATCCCCAGTTAGGGAACATACAAGAAGCAACCAATGAATGCATAAATAAGTGGGAAAAAAAATTGATATTTCTCTCTCTCTCAAATTTAAAAGGGGGGAGGGTACTTTTGGATAATAGTTTATTTTTCAGATCTTTGCGAGAGAGAGATAGCAACTAGAAGACACTTTTGGAGTCAATTTAGTGTGAAGGGTTTTTCCCTCTTTTAGACCTGTGATACCATGTTAGCTGCACCAAGTAGAAATTCAACAAATCTGAATGTATATTAAAAGAAAGGAAAATCCATTTAGATACTTTTCACTTTTTCTGCCAGTGGTTTTAAAGAAAATAATCTAATCTTATATCTATATGAAATTAAAATTTCCATTTGACTAGAGTAATAGATTAAGTAATAATTAATGCAAAAATGCCACAGCATTATTTCTTTCATAGATCACACTTGTAGTGCAATTGAGTCCAATTATATACCATACTAATAGCTATCTAATACTGGGAACATTGTTGGTTTGACACACATAACTGCAAATGCTAAAATTAGCTCTTTTCTGTATGTGTTCCTTGGGTTATGTATGTTCGTTCACACCTATTCTTTAAGGAGTTGAAGATGGTATGTAATCACAAATGTTTTAATGTTTATTTTTATTAAATTTTATTTGCCTATGTAACAGACCTGAATGATAGAAAATTCATGATGTATAAAGTGGTACATAAGGAAAAAACCCCATCTCAGTTCCCAAGTCAGCCAACATCCCCCCCCCCCTTTTATTTGTCTTCTTTCAGTGATAATTTATGCACAGACATGCAACAATACATGTGTTTTTCTCTTAATCTTTTGAACATTATTTCCATATCAGGACATTACAGAAACTCCTCATTCTTTAGTATTCTGTCTAGCCTGTGGATATATAACTTTGCCATTACTTAACTATGTCCACTAAAAGGAAAACACTATTTCTTTATTCACACAATATTTAGGACACCAATTGTATGGGTTTCCCTACACCAAGCAGTTCCCTAAATTCTGTAGACACCAACTATATGTCCTACAATTCATTTCAGTTCTGACACTATCTACCTGGAGTTATCAGATCCTACAAATTAAGGGCTCAGTCACAAGATTGCCCCCACTTCAGACCGCAGTTACAGGTCACATACACTTTTGATCACGTAGCTATAAGTCAGGGTTTCCACAACCCCCTGCACAGGTTTGGTAATTTGCTAGAACGCTCACAGAACTCAGGCAAACATTTGCTGGTTTATTACATAAATGAAGACATATATCAAGCGAGGTTTAAAAGCATCCCAAGTATTTGAGACCCTACTGCTTCTGTTTTTGGGGTGCACCACCCACCTGGCATGTAAGTGTTCACCAACCTGAAAGCTCTCTGAACCCCATAGCTCAGGGAGTTTTATGGAGGCTTCATCATATAGCCATAATAAATTATTAACTCAATTTCCAGCCTCTTCCCCTTCTGGAAGGAAGTGGTTTGGCGCACAGTCCCCATCCTGAAACTATCCAGGAGCCCACTAAGAGTCTGGCCTCATAAGCACAAAAGATGTTCCTATCAGAAAATTTTAAGGGATTTAGGAGCTGTGTCAGAAAGGGGTCGATGATCAAAGGCGAAGATGCTCCTAACATTTTTAATTACCTTGGAAATTGCAAAGGATTTAGGAGCTCTAGCCAGGAGCCTGGGGGATGAAATGTACAGGAAAGAGATCAGCTATGACCCTGGGAAATTTCTGTCCTGAGCCATGAGAAGGGTGATGGTATAACAGGTGGACACACAGCAGTTGGGAAGAAGGGCCAGTTTGAGGGAGGCGAGTTCAGTTTGGGCAGCTTTTATTGATGAGCATAAAGCAACCAGAGGCTTCTGGCAGAGTCTCTGACTTTTTCTGATTTTCTTGAAAAATGTATGTAAACTGATTAGTTAAGTTGTTGCTGAGAGAGGGCAAAGCTAAAGGTAAAGATTCTAAGTCATCCACAGAGTTAGTGGTTGAAACTGAACCTCAGGAATTCAACAGCTTCTTTTAAACCCTTGTAATTCATGGATATATTTCTCACTTTTTTTTTTAATCCTCACTGAGGATATTTTTTCTGTTGATTTTTATAGAGTGGAAGGGAGGGAGGGAGAGTGGGGAGAGAAAGAAACACCAATATGGACATTGATTGGTTGCCTCCCACACAACCCCGACTGGGCCTGGGGATCGAACCCGCAACCCAGGTACATGCCCTTGATCAGGAATCAAAACTCAAGACCCTTCAGTCCACAGGCTGACGCTCTAACCACTGAGCCAAACCAGCCAGGGCCATTGTATAGTCTTGAGTTGATTCTTTTCATGGATGTACTGGCTGCTTACCTGTCTGAGGATGTTCATTGTGCTATTCTGAAGTCCTCTGGTGCTTTCTCTGTTAACTCTGATTCATTGGCCATAAGCTATGTTTGTTTTTGTTTTCTGTCCTCAATGGAGTTGGCTTTCTCAACCCTACTGCTTCCTTGTTCCGGCTCCAGGGCAGAGGTGAAATGAACTGCTGGGGCTTCTTAGTCCCGTGGATTCCCCTGGGAATCGGGAAGAGTGGAGTGTGCCTTTGGGGGTTAGTCAGTGGGTGCCTACCCTTTCTCCATGGTTCTGGTACCCCGCCGCTTTCAGTACTGGTTGCTGCCCTGGAGGGACACACCCTCTGGTGCCTGGTTCCGAGGAGGCAGAGGTGGGCGAAGTGCTGCCAGCTGCTCCTGCTGCAGCGTCCCGACTACTCCCCTGCAGGGCGCTCCAGGGCTTCCGGTAGCGCAGCACTTGGGAGCTGCTCCCGTGCTTTGAGCGAAGTTTGGAAAAAGTATTTTTTCTTTATTGATTTTAGAGAGAGAGGAAGGGAGAGGGAGAGATAAAAACATCAATGAGAGAAAACATCAATTGGCCACCTCCTGCATGCCCCCCACTGGGAATCAGGCCCACAACCTGGGCATGTGCCCTGACCAGTAATCCAACCGGCAACCTGTTGGTGCATGGGTCGATGCTCAACCACCGAGCCACACCGGCCGGGCAAGTACATACAATTCTCAAAAACAAAGATGGGATCACACTATGCCCATCCACCTGCAAAGCCTCCCCATTTCTACCCTGGCATTCTTCAAGCTCATCCCATAGATGTACCGGTGCTTTGGATGGCCACTGGAGGGAGCATTCATCCCTGTGCCTCTGGTGTCCTGAGGAGTTTGCCAGGTGAAAGGTGTGGGGCACATGTACGCATGAAGCACCTCCTCCTCCTCCACAGGGCGAGGTCCGCTCTGCTCCCACCAGCCTGCAGCTCAGCCAGTCCGTGCTCCATCCTAGCCTGTGACCAGCAGAAAGGTAACATTTCATTCTTCATGTGCCTCACTGGTTCAGAACTGGGGGGGCGGCGGGCTACTATGTATCAGGGCCCCTCAAACCTGAACCAGGTACAGTGCTCAACAACAGACTTGCATCATCTCCAACACTCTTCCAAACCTGACGAGGCAGGGAGTACTTTTTACTTTATTTTACAGATGAGGAAACAGACTGGGACAGTCAGCTACCCTAGGTCACTGACCTAGTAAAGTGGCAGAATCAAGTCCAGGTCTGCCTGCCTCCAGTGCCCACTCCCATGTGAAAAGTTTGTTTCCCTTCCCAAGTGTGAGCTGTTCTTTTTACCCGATTTTAGCTTAGATCAGCTGGAATGAGTATTATGAAACGAAGCTTACATTTTAAACCTTGTTATTTTTCTTAATTTAAAAGAAGGGAATTAGGATGTTGGTTTTTGTTTTGAAAGTCAGTGATATCTCCTGGTTTCTATGTTCAAATTTTTTTTTTCTTCACGGGTCGGGCCTGGTTTTTATGTTTAAAATGACTCCATTACTACCTAAAAACAGCTTGCCTCTGCTTACAGGGATAGAACTTTAAATATATGTATGCTCCTCTTCATTGTTTTCACAAATTTGGTTGTTGTTGTTCCTCACCTGAGGATATTTTCCCCATTGATTTTCAGATACAGTGGAAAGGAGGGAGGAAGGGAGAGAGAGAAACATGGATGTGAGAGAGACACATCGACTGGTTGCCTCCTGCACGACCCTGACCAGGGCCAGTGATCAAACCTGCGACCCAGGTCCGTGCCTTTGACTGGGAGACGAACCTGAGAACCACAGAACAATATTCTAATTGCTGAGCCAAACTGGTTTTCATAATTTTTTTTTAACTTTAGAGGTAGTTTTCAAAATAAAATATACCTTGCTTTGAATAAACATTCACCTGAAAATTAGCAGTCTTTCAGTTCTTGCTTAGCTCCTTTTTCTTCTGTCAAATAAAAAAAATTAAATTGATACTCTTTCATTTAACGAAAACTGAATGAACCACATCTACCTCACTGATGAAGAAAAAAAAAGAGATAGAGAGAGAAAAAATAAAGAAACCTGAATGAAATGAACAAAAGAAAGTAAAAATACACCAGACAGATAGATACTGGCTAA